TGTTAGCCTCATAAAAATTACAAATAATATTAGGTATATTTCTATGTATTCGATTCTGAAATTAAGGTTATAATTATTTTGTTTAATCATTTTGTTTTTATTTGCTAAATGTTGAATGAAGAGAAATCATTCATAATATTTTTTTATCTTCTTAGTTTATATTGAAGCCTAGTTTTTCGTCCATCTTGTTATTTACCGTCTCATTCATAAGTCAATGTATTAACATTGTTTAGTATAGTCAGATATGTATGATGTTAGCCTCATAAAAATTACAAATAATATTAGGTATATTTTTATATCTTGAACCCACTTCGTGAAAATCCTGGGTCCGCCACTGGTTGGAGCTGATTGTCTGAAAAAATAGAGAACTTTATATTTGGAGAGTAAAATAGAGTATAGGGTTGGAGATGCGCTAAATGAGTAGCTGAGCCAATAAAGTGGATAGGAAGATCATATGATGAGGAAAATATGAAGGCTAGTTGAAGTTGTTGATTGAGATGGCTTTGTGCTGGAAATGGAACCATGATTATAGCTACTTCATTTTCTTGTTTTTTCAACATTTCAAGATTGTTATCCATGGAGAAAGAAGAAAAAAACAAGTATTGAGAATTGAAGTAAAAGTAAATTGATGAAAACTTTGATGATTGAGTTTGGTGAAGTTGTATTGAAAGGTTTATATAAACATACAAAATAAATATAGTAATTTTTTATTCTTGTCATTATGGACAATTTCGTATGTTAGTACGCCATAGGTTGATTATTGAAATTTATTCAATTTGGAATAGAAATGATATTTGACTTATTTGTCTGTCGTGCACTCCAAGTTCATTTATGCTTTGCATCTCTATTAATAGTCAAAAACATACCTCATTCGATGGTGAGCTGATCAAATATTTGTTACCAATTGATAATAGACATATATAGATCAACTCAGTATCAATGTGTATTTTAATTTTTTAAAAAAAAAAAAGTAATAATTGAGATATGAATCTTGCGAAAAAGTGATAGTTTGAATGTGTATTTTATAACTCTATCTTTTATTCATTTAAAGCCACCAAACAAGTGGATGAGAGGCATTACCCTACCACCTTTTAACTTTTCAAAGAACTCATCTTTTTTGTACTTTTAGTTTCTAGCCGTTCATTCAAAATGAAGAGGCTACTGCTAAAATATGATAAGAGTAAATTCAGGTGATTTTTCATATTCTTTTGATACTCTTAGTAAATATGTCAAGAGTCAAAGAAGATGTCTGCCCCACAATTCTGATCTAGTAGTAAGAGCGTAACACATAATATGTAGGTTAACCATACGTCCAGTGTTCAAATCCTGTTGTAGACAAAAGCTTTGCTATTAAGTGGAGAAGAACAAAGAAGCATGCTCATTATCTACCGAGTTTCAACCTGTGTACCAACAACCCTCCTGGACTCGAGAGAATGTCTAAATAATTATAATCTATAGAACATCTAATCCTCAAATACGACACACATCACAAGTTCAAAATTGGTTGCACAAAAGAACTAAATGGTTAAGTGGAGAAGAGTAAGAAACATGCTCATAAACACCGAGACACACTTCTATCACATATAAAACATTGAAAGTAAGCCCAAAAAGACTAATTTAAGAATCAAAATAAGCGAGAAACATTGAAAGTAAGTCCAAAAAACTGAAAGATCGAACCAACGGAATGAAATGTATCAAGACCGCCATTAGAAATTTCTGGAACCATTTCAAATGCACTCCAAGATGAACTATGTGCATTAGCAAGGTTTTTCCACCTCTCTTCCATAAAGAGACAGGGAGTAAAAGATTCAGCAATTTTTTAAGATGAAAAAATTAAAAGAAGTCGAAAACTGAAGTGATTGAAAGAAATCTACCTCTTAAATAACTTGAAATCATTTATTGGAAAAGAAAGATTTGAAATTCAAAAATAGATTAATGAAAGTAACTGTGGAGAGATTTGTGGAGTGAAAAAGGAAGGAAAATCATTAATAGAAGATTTCAAATTAATGTATCCGAAAAAGGATTAATGAGAGCAAAAAAGGGGATTTTTGATATTTTTTGAAATGGTAGGGAAAATAAGAAAATATGATAATAAATGATGTGTAGTTAGATAATATTTCCAAAAAATTATAATCAGTTGTCATGCACCACATACTTTTATTAAATCTGCATAAACAACATCCAATAATTCAAAAATAATAGTATAATAATTATAGTAGTTACAAATCTAAAAAACACGTGAAAGAGATGGATTTGCTACTCAATCATCCTCTTACCTTCACACATTTACCATATAACCCCCTGCTTCTTCAATGAGAAAAAACTCAATCAGGAGATATGGAGGATCCGATAGCAACACGAAACTCCAATCTTTCTACTTCCATGTGTAGCTATGAGAATTTACCAAACCATGAAGTAGCTATAGTCATGGTTCCATTTCCAGCACAAGGCCATCTCAATCAACTTCTTCAACTTTCCTGTTTAATCTCATCATCATATGATCTTCCTGTCTATTATGTTGGCTCAGCTACTCATAATCGTCAAGCTTTGCTTCGAGCTAACGCTTTAAATCCTTTAGACATAGCCAAAATCCACTTCCATGACATTCCACTTCCTGAATTTACCTCACCTCCACCTGACTTTAATGCCTTGAGCAAATTCCCATTACATCATCAGCCATTATGGGATGCATCTTTGCTTCTTCGCAAGTCCATTGCTTCCTTTTTACGTGACATCTCCTCAAAATCGAGACGAGTCATTGTTGTTCATGATTATTTTATGTCATATAATGTTCAGGATGTTTCTTCCTTTCCCAATGCTGAATCCTATATATTTAATTGCATTTCAGTTATCACTTTGTACTGTTCTTTATGCTTATTTAGTGGAAAGTCTATCCAACTTGGAGAAGAATTGCTTAAAAAGCTACCACCCCTTGAAGGAGCTGTGCCTGATGAAGTCAAGAACTTTATGGATTTTCAGAGTCCATATGTGGATATTAAATCAGGTGATATCCATAATACAAGTAAAGTAATTGAAGGTGAGTTTCTTGATTTGCTGGCACAAGTAGAAAGTAAACAACA